ATATGTATTTATACTTGTATGTGTTATATTTATATATATATAGCTTCCTATTATTTGAAGCGTTTGTAAACATTGTTATACACGTTTATTTGTCACATTTTCACGCGCCCTTCGAATTAAAAGGTTTTCGTTTACTAAATTACTGTTCATTTTGTGATACCTGAAGAAGGGCATTGCCCAAAACGTCGTATCCACAATTGTATATATATTAATATATTAGGTCGTCAGGAGATTGATGTCGCGTTTTGGATCTCTTTCATTACCCCTTCCCCAGAAAAAACGTACATCACGCATAGTAGTTAAACGAACCGCCTTAACGTACTCTAATCCCTTATAGTGATGGCACACGTCGAGACACACATTCGGCATGTGAAGCTGTTTGAATACAACAAGGCAACAACGCCTCTGTAGCCACGAAGAATATCAAAGAAGTTTGTGGAAATGTATCGAACGGTCGTAAGTATCAACGATGGTTCAGCAAATTTCGACTTTAGCCTTAAAAACTGAGATGGTAGGGGACGACTTGTTGGAATTAATATTGATGCTCTGAAGACCTTTGTTGAGTCTAACCCAAAGCAACACACTCGTGAAATGGTCCTGGAATTGGATGTCTCTCTTGAAACAATACGGAAACATCTAAGCAATATGGGAAAACACCATAAAGAAGGTGTTTGGGTGCATCACGAACTCTCCGATGATCATCGTTTCCAACGTGTGAAGGTTGCTTCGTCTGTTTTGGCGCGCAATGCGCGTGAACCATTTTTGGACAGAATTGTCACCGGTGATAAAAAAAATGGATTTTCTATGCGAATATTAAATGCCAAAAATAATGACTCAGTCCTAGACAAAAACCACTTCTGACCCCAAAATCGGGACTCCATCCGCAGAAAGTGATGCTTTGCATTTGGTGGGACATCAACGGAATAATTCATTTCAAACTCCTCAATTCACAGCGAACTATCAATATAAAGATCTACAGTCAGCAACTGGAACGTTTAAATCAAGCCCTTCATCAGAAACGTCCTTCACTCATCAATCGGAAAGGTGTTCTTCTTCTCCATGACCATGCACGGCCACATGTGGCACGTTTGACGCAACAGAAGTTTATGGAGTTGGGTTGGGAAGTTCTCCCCCACCCACCATATTCTCCATCTTAATGGGAAAACGTATGCAACTGTGGAAGGTGTTAAAGAGGACATCGACATATTTCTTGCTTCAAAGCCAAGTTATTTCTTTAATCAGGGCATTGATAACCTGATTGTAAAATGGAAAAACATCATTGATAAGAATGGAGACTATTTCATTTAATAATTGTTTTGTTTTGATATATAAGTTTTCGGTTTTTCATCTAAAAAGAGCGACATTAATTTCTTTACGACCTAATATATATCTGTAGGTAACACTTTGGTGGTTTGATCTACAACATACTTCTTTTTTTTTGTGTTATATTTAAAACAGGGGACGTTTGTTTTATAAATAGACTTTCTTTCATTAACACTTCAAGGTCATAATTACCATTACAAGAATGGTGAATCCTGAATGAGTTATCGGATGTCCATATTTATGTCTGTGGTTCCGGATCGTTGAATTAGGTGGACTTAAAACGATGTTACTCGACCTCAGTGATACTCCCATGTGCTCGTGGATGCGAACGGTGAAATATCGTTTGTTTTCCCGACATAGGCGGCTTTACAGTCACCAAACGTGTACTAATATACAATCCAGAAGTAAAGAGAGATAGGTATATGATTCTCTGGGTTAAAGAGATGTTTTAACCTGAAGGATGGTTTGAAAATGATGTTACGTTCCCTATTAAGGATCTAAGTTGTTTAGAAAGTATGATACTTTGTTGTTCTAGATAAGGGATGGGCAATTATACTGAGCATTTATCAACTGTAAACACTAGTATTTTGCTTTAATGTGATGTAACAATAAATTAGTTATTATATCCTCTTACAGATAATTCATTTTCACATAACTTTGTTTATCGGTTTGTACTTCGGAAAATACTTGTTTGTTTGTTTGTTTTTCGTTGGTTTTTTTTCGAGATAAATATTTTTTTTTGTTTTTTTCAAGATAAATATTTATTTTTTTGTTTCTGTTTTTTTAATTTTTCTTTTTTCCGACATACAAACCGATAAACAAAGATAGTCAAATTCTTAATACAACTAAAGATAAAATTGATTTAATGGAAAAATTTGGTGTATATAAAATATCATGGGAATGTAAAAAGTTTATACAGGCCAAAGTAGAAGAAACTTAAAATTCAGAATGAATTAACGCAAAAGAAATGTTAAAAACGATAATATTACTATTTCATCTTTAGCAGAACATATTAATGAAACTAAACACACAACTCAATGGGAAAAAAAACTATTATTTTAGCATAACCTGGAAACCTAATTAGTATTAATATACGTGAATCTATTGAGATAATTAAATGTAAAAAAGTAAATTTACATTATTGAATAAGGATGATGAACCTGATGGAAGTGTTGTCAGTAGATGTAAATTGGTGATCTGGTAATTGTATAAATAAGTGTTATTTTTTGCAAAACATTATATGCTTGTGGATGACGCAGTGATATACGTCGAAACATGTCGAGTCTATGAGACTGTTTTCCAGTCTCATTCGGGTTTTTTTTTACTACTTTTCATCCTGTACAGTACGTTATTTGTACTTTATTGTAATTTTTAGACTGGAATCAATCTCATTTTTATAATTGTGTATAAAATAATCGTTGTTTTTAAAAAATTATGAGTTTTTAACATTGCACATTACATAAGAGCCAAGGAATTTTAAAGGATATGACTGTTTTAGATTCTCCACAAATGGTTGATTCGGCCAGTGATAGGTGGATTTAGAGTCCAAAAATGTTCGTATGAGAACCTACAAAACATTAGTTTTTTTAACTTTAATCAACTTGTTTGAAACTAACGACAATACATTACACGTCTTTAGAAGTTTGAAAATTATCATTGTGCTTGATTGGATCAGAATAGGTGGCACAGCGGTATGTATGCGAACTTACAACGCTAGAATCCGGGTTTCGATACTCGTGGTGGGCAGAGCACAGATAGCCCATTGTGTAGCTTTGTGCTTAATTACAAATAAACAAACAATTGGATCAGAATAATATCAATGTAAATTATGAAAAGGCAGAAAATATGAAATGATTATACAAACTTATGAAATTGTTGTAATTTCTAGTTTTTACAGACGTGTCAGTCTCGAGTTGTCAACCGTCACATTTTTTATTTAGTCTCAAGAATTTTTATTTTAAATAAGATTGTTTTGTGATACAACGTTACTAACTAAATGAGTCAAAGGTTCATCATTAGTGATGCAGTGATAATCAAAATAAAATACTTATTCGGCTGATCATGACTTGTATTAGCTAAATATCATACATATCTTGTGATATTAAATTGTTTTTAAGACAGTATTTTAAAGAACTGTTGACTATATCACTTGTTGTGTATTTCTAAAGTTCAAAACACTACAGCACAAAGAGAAATATACTAAACATTTCCTGGAAAACCGGGTGACTTATTTGATTACACCACCATTCCCAGTTTGCCCCTGAAGAAGAAAAGTCCATCTTTCGAAAGCTCTCGGCTTATGAGGTTTTTATTTATTTCTATCAAGACTTCTGAAACCTACGTGTTTAGCTAACAAGTTTCCTTAGAGTAAATGGTCAACACTGTAGGTTCTAAGAATACGTATTATTGCCACAAGTTTATTCTATAATATAATGCATCAAATCGAATGCATTTTATCACCTATAACTTATGGCTCAGCGTAGGTCTGAACACATATAATGCTAACAATCGGGTTTCAATCAGGGTGGGTACAGCGCAGATAGCCCATTGTGTAGCTTTGTACTTAACAACAAACAGACTGAACTGATGAATTTGCATAATAATTATAATTTTTTCAGGGAACCCAACTCTGTTGAACAAAAGCAGTGGGATGTGTTTGTGGAAACTCCCGTCGAAGAAGATGATCTCACCGAGACTTCCAAATGGGTAGATTTGATTATGAAGATCATGAAAGTCATCACCTACATCATCACTCTAACCATCGTTCTCTCCTCGGCTGTTGTGTCAAAGGTTACCCTCTTGTTTATGACTTCACACGTGAAAGAAGAACGCACAGTCCAGGTTTGCAAGAAGGGGCTAAGTGAGTAATTATAGTTATTTTTAATATAGATAATTAATTCGTTTCCCTGACAACAGAAAATACACTTTTCCAACTTAATTACGTTATAAGATATTTGTGACTTGTGTGATTAACGTGAATAAATTCAAAACTTCTGCGTACGAAAAAATAATGAATTTCATACTTGTACAGTTTTCCCGTTCAGATAAGAATAGTAATCGCAGTAACTAGATTACTTCAGGAAATAGTTTTCAACAAAAACAATAATGTCATTACACTTTGTGTGCAGACGCTATTAATGTCACTGATTGTTCCAAGTGAAACTAAGACCATAGTCTCGACATTTCTAAATTTAGAAATGGCGATGTTATCAGAGCCTAGAGGTACATGGTCAAAACTAAGACTCTAATAACGTACCAAAAATATCGGACACACACCTGGAATATATATATATATAACTAACACACGAAATAAAGTCAGTACTGTGCAAGATGAAAGTTTGTATGTGTTCTAAATCGAACAAACCTGTACATTTCAAATATATTTATACATCTTGGCACTTTACAAATTTCCCCTTGGTATGTTTCACATTTTTACGTAAAAACACACAATCAATCAGGAACATGATTTGCTATAGATAGGTACATACGCGGTGAAAATAAACCATTTAACAAGTATAAACAAATCATGTAACAATATCCAATTTAGAAGTCGATATACACACATAACCCTTTAACAAATGTTCAACAATACAATATTATAACAGTTAAGTACAAATATCCTGCAACGTTGAATATCTAAAAACGCAATCTTCACCGAGAAACTGGGATAAGGCCGGTCGTTTATCACACGTTGTACTTGCACATTTTTACTTATTAAGTTACTCATTTTTTGTTCTATACACTATGATACACATATTTTACGTTTTAAAGTTTTGTATTTATACATTATATATCTTTTAAATGTTAAGTCTTTCAACACTATTTTTTTTACTTTATAACCGTGTCTTTGTATCCTTTGTACATCAGAGCTTCACTTACAGCCTTTTATATTTAAAGAATATTTATGCATCATAAGCATTGTATAACTTTTCCCTTGTTTTGTTTCACATTTTTACATAACTAATGGTTACTAAACATGTGTATTGCATACGCCATTCAATGAAAGTTTACACCCTAATCACACGGTCTCTCAATAATAGTCAGGGGAACTATTTCATTCATCCGGGTTTCGATACTCATGGTGGGCAGAGCATAGATAGCTCATTGTGTAGCTTTGTGCTTAATTATAAAGAAACAAACAAACCCTGTAAATGGTGCAAACAACCAAATTTTCAGTGGGACTCCTCTTTCAAGCCTTAAACTCGGCCCAATGGAAAGCTTTGTTTTCCACTGGGCTATAACATCAGTGCAATTCAGCCACGAATGTTTTCCTGTCCTTTAGTTACTCCTCACTCAGATGCCTTATAAGGTTATGTGTTGGACCATTAAAATTCAGCGTCAAATGCTGCACTACATGTTGTTTTAGTAGAACTTTAGGCAGAACAGACATAATAGGATTGAGAACTTTAATGGACTGCAACAGAATGAAAAATGGACAACGTTTAAGCTTATATACTGAAGTCGTCTGTACAACTTGTTCTTGATTCCAACGATAGATAACTGTTTGATATAGTTGGAATCAAGGACAGGTTCTACAGCCTGATCCAAATCTTCTTTAACCGCATCACTGAACACTGGAGATAAATCAGCTTAACCTTACTCACAGGGGCCTATTGTGTTAGGAACAGCCTTTCTCTCATGGAAATCCAGCCAGGCTGAGACATTCTAAACTTCAGGGGCATTGTTTACTAGGTGTACGCCAGGACTCCTCTACTGGGCTGCAGAATAACGAGCATCTTATCCATGTTAATTAGTATCTAAATGAAAAAAAAGTTACTAATTAATAATAAGATTTAAGTCATCGTGTAGGCAAGCCAAATCTCCAACGTATGAAATAAAATTGCAATCATTTTCTGTGGTCTTCAACTTTATTACTTATTGTGAGGTTTCTGGGATTTTTTTTTAGTTTTATGACTAAACATTTCCTACAATTGTATTAAAGGAGACAGAGAACAAAAAAAAACAGCAAATAGACAAAGAGGTCTTGATATTGGAGAAACTAGTTTCGACACATTCGCGTTTGTCTTCTGGCAGGAAAACTGATCAACAACACTGCGTTTACAAGAGCGTTAAAGGAAAACAAATCATTAAGCTATTCTTTATGATGAATACAACATATCATCCAATATTTCGTTTAAAAACTTATTAGAATGAAGAAATAACTTTGACAGCTATTGCTCAACAAACAAGTGCCTTTAACGTTCTGATGTGTTTCTGGCGGTATTAGTTCAAATATTGATCAAGAACAAAATTTATGTGCTCTTTGTTAACAAAATCGATTTGTTATATTTCAGCTGATTACCTTTTGGGTATATTATGAAAGGTTTTGTTTTCATATTAGTTTTTAAGCGTAAAGCAACGCAATGTGTTCTTTATGCTGAGTCCACCAGGGGCATTGAAAGTCCAATTTTAGCGTTATGTGCCCTCAAGAGTCGTGCTGAGGGCTATTATGAACATGATGTTCAATATTTTATTCTCCCCATAAAAATGATAAAAATGTTTACTTAACATTTTGGTGCAAAGAAAGTTATATTTTAAAAACAAACAAAAAAACACTAATATTATTTGGAGATAATATTAATGTCACAATTTTAACCACCAGCCACACCAAGCGTTTGACTGTCAGTCTTATAACGCACTCATACCTTAAAGTGCAGCGAATATTCTGTGGTATCGCACGGATTTAAACTTGATTCGCCAGCTATGAAATCCAGAGCTGTACCAAAAGGCCAAATCGCACCAACATAATAAATTGATTTTAAGTAGAAAAATTACATTTTCTTAACCTTTAATCTTATTCCGTTTCAGATCTAGAACGGGGCAAATATTACCAAGCAGCCATACCAGATGAAGAAAGAGTAGCATGGATATGGACCCTATTTTTTTCACTCATAATTCCAGAAATTTTAACACTTTTTAGAAGTTCAAGAATTTGCATCTTCAAATCTCACAAAAAGCCTACTCTTAGAACATTCTTTACTGTAAGTGTAAAATTTTGTTGAATGTATAGGATTGTAAAATACAAAGCTACTTTCGTATTTTAACAATAACTCATAATAATATTAGTATTTACTGCTGTTGAGAGTTTTCTACCCCTTCGCCTTTTTTTCTTTAGTGTAAACTTACAAACGAATTGTTTTTGTAGTTAAATTGAATTCCAGACGTTTGATAGTACAGTCCTGTTGGTCAGTTCATTAAAAATTTTCACAAATCTCTAGATTGAAATTCATAAGGGATTGACCAAAAGAATTACGAGAATTTTCTGTGATCTATTGTGATGTGTTCATATCATTTTTGTGTCCAAAATCTTTTTTGTTATATACCTTGTATGCTATTATTTTTGCATTATTATCACCTGTTAATTTGAATTCAACTCTAGCTTGAGTTTCTAGATGGATAAAGTTTCTTTAATTCTTACAACTTGTTTGTTGTTGGAACTACATATTTAAATTGTTCTTTTCATCTACAGTGCCATTATGTTCTTCGTCTAGATGGTGAGTTTGTAGATATTTGAAGAAGTACCAGCACAAGGCTTGCCCCTAGTGGCACAGATATATATATATGTCTGCGGGCATACAACTCTAGAAACTACAAACAAACAAAGTACAATACTTCAGATGATCTATTATATGTTGTTATAAACGATGCATGGTTGATTTCACATAATCTCGTACACATCGAGAACAAACATATTCATAAACAATGAAAGAGCGTAGAGGTTTACTAATTATGTCCTTTGTGTTGAAAAAGTTCTCTATTTTAAACACAAATTTTAAAACTTGACACACGAACTCAATATCAAAACTCACACAATAAGTATTTCCAACAATTGTTTCGAACACAGACACTTATAACCAGAAAATTTCAGGTTTTTTAAAGCTATTTTCTTAAAGAATTAGAAATTAATAAATATATGGTTATGAATAGTTTGAGATCATCATTCTTGTAGATTTGATATTTGAACAGATTTATTGTGCGATTTTTAATTTTGAGCCTTTATTCATTAATATTCATTTACAGGAGGTAATTCGATTAGCAGTAGGTTTGGTTTTTCAAAATTATACAAATGTACAAGGGTTAACAAAATATACTTTTATCGGGTTATTAAATTTTACTATTAAGAAATCTCATTTGAATTTTGATAGCAGTATTTATGATCACGTTGCTATGGGCTCAAACTTAGCACCTTGTCTAGCAAACGTTTTGTATGTTATGAAGAAAAACAGTGGTTGAATAGCTGCACAGAGAGTTTTAAGCTTGTTGAATACCACAGGTACGTTGATAACACCCTTGTTATTATGTTGCCGCCATTACAGCATGTAAACTAAATAACCGATCTAAACGAATTTGTTATTATATATATTTATTTCAATATCGACGTTTGTTTAGAATAAACTTATATTTAGAAACATACATAGCTTATACTGTTAAATATGTATTGCGTAACTCCCGCCTAGTCTCCAAAGTTGTAGAAGATTCTCGATAGTAAGAATCAACAATATATGTGTGTACGTAAATGCTTAAATGTAGCTTTGTACTGTTACGTAATATGAATTTTCTAAAAACTCTTCACACGCTTATAAGTATAACCAACGATACGCGCCGAAAAAGTAGTATCTATTATTAGTTCGCTATGGTCAGTATGCTACAAACTTCTGAAGCTATAACTGTGATTGTTATAACGCTTATCAACTGGAAAACTTCAGATATTTGACCAGGGGCATT